CAAACAGGGTGATGTTAAGCCAATCACATTCACCGCACATGTTTTGTCATGAATTGGTGGCTTAAATGGTACAGTCTTATCCCAACTGGTTGACAGTAGGAATCCAGTCAAACTGTGGCTAGCGTTCTCAGTGGTTTCCGTGCCTCGTAAGCTACCAAGGTAGCTCAGCTACGTCCTCTATCAGTAGCTGAAGTGGTAACCACCAAGTCCCCGAAAACTTGATCTTTGCATCCAGCCACCTTGTTTACGTTGGCCTACAGTAAGATCAACAAATTCTCTGTCAACAATGATAATTGACACAACAAATCCCTATCCCATTAAATTCCTTTTTCACTTTCTACAGCTATCAAACTTGTATTTCAGACATTTTACAACTTCATAACTTTTCTTGTTAAGTTTCCTCAAGTTTAGGTAATACTTTCCAATTTTGTTATTCTATGCACACTATCCTATACTCTCCATGTCAATAAACTCTCCGTTACTTGATAATCGTTCACTGGTGGTGCTTGCAATACACCATAACCATAATTTTTTTAATTTCGTTGATTTCCACGCTCTAAACTTAAGTCTAGGGCTTCACATTTGTTTGTTCATTTCTTTGAAGTATGCATTCTGTCTTTAACACCATCAAATACAGCTCACGCCTTGATACCTATACTTTTGTCGATGCTAAATACAAAAATATGTCATTGAATTATTGAATTTCATTTTATCTTACGGTTTTATTGATCACACAATTAGATGATAATCAAAACTCAGTGACTCTTATTCCATATTGTACTTATACTACAATACACTTCTTAATATAATTGGAACTTGCCTTTACTGGCTATTGTGTGCTAAAATTAACAGCTTTACATTCGTAAAGCATGGAAAAACATTCCTTGCAAACGCTTGTTTGCTGTCATTATTACTGTTCTGACAGTTAGCTATTAACTGAAGTGATGTAATTCTTTTACAATATTATATTTTCAATCTGTTATACCCCTTCCATTATGGATAGGATTTTATTTTGATAAATCACACAGTGTTGTATAGTAATATTTACTGATGACGTTTCGAGCATAAACTACTGCTCATAATCATATCAAGTTACTCACACAACTTCTTTCCTTCATTTATATACATGTGTGGAATCGATTAGATATTGGAGTAAAATTCAATATGAGATAATGTACATTCAGAAATAATAATACGAGTGTTACTGATCAATTACAATTAGATGGAAAATAAAACGAGTGTTTTTATCGCCATAATAAGTTACTTCTTAGAATGTTTTGATGTGTTTGAATTGAAATAGAATATTAAGATTATTTATTATTCTCTTCTGATTTGACTGGCGGTAATAATATCTTCCATATTTCTGGTATTTGCATTGAGTCACTTCTGTTGCATGTGTCGGGTGTAGACTCAATGAACAAGGATTCCGTAATCAACCTCTCTCTCCACCTACCTATGTTACTCTCTAGAATTTTAACCCTATCCCACCCTATTGTGTGGTTGTTTGTTAATGCGTCAAGCGCAATGGCTGAGCTTTTTTCTAAATTACTTATCTTTTCAGGGTCAACCATTCTGCCATTCTGGCTAACAAACCGAGCCATAGCATTAAGTAGCACAAAAAAAGACCTAAATGACGAAATAAAACAGATAGAAGAGGCGTTGGTGTTAAAATTCTAGAGAGTAACATAGGTAGGTGGAGAGAGAGGTTGATTACGGAATCCTTGTTCATTGAGTCTACACCCGACACATGCAGCAGAAATAACTCAATGCAAATACCAGAAATATGGAAGATATTATTACCGCCGGTCAAATCAGAAGAGAATAATAAATAATCTTAAAATTCTATTTCCATTCAAGCACATCATAACATTCTAACAATTAACTTATTATGACTATAAAAACACTCGTCGTATTGCCTATCTAATTGTTATGGATTAATAACACTCGTACTATTATTTCTGAATGTACATTATCTCATATTGAATTTTATTCCAATATCGAATCGAATCCACACATGTATATAAATGAAGGAAAGAAGTTGTGTGAGTAACTTGATATGATTATGAGCAGTAGTTTATGCTCGAAACGTCATCAGTAAATATTACTGTACAACACTGTGTGATTTATCAAAATAAAATCCTATCCATAATGGAGTTATGCTCTACCACAGTGCCCAAGTTTTATACTTATATCAATTATACCCCTTTCAATCTCTATCTGAAGTTGACACAAAACCTGGGAGGATGTCGTTGCTCGTAGTCTATATCAAGAAGCATTCAACCGTAGAAAGAATCCCTAGGTTTCAGTATTAAGCGGTAGACTGTGGTTTACACTTCGATATAAGGGAAAGCTTTTTTATATTCCAGTTCTGTACAAGTTAACTGTTACCTTAACAGCGATCTGCTAATTACCACATTTGTTCAGTGATTCACTAAGACTATGTTCCTAGAAGTGTCTTTAAAAATAGTCCTTCTCGCTAAAAGAAGTTTCAGACTATTTGTGCAGCCATTTTTCAGTTTGCAGTCAGCAAAGGAAGATCATTTACAATCTGAAAAATTGTTTCACTGAGACATCTTGTGATCCACGTAATGTCACATAATGAATTACGAAATGAAATCTGCTATAAATTAACATTATCAAAAAATTTGTTATGCATTCTAAGATTTATTGCGGTTCAGACTGGACGGTTTTACTGCTCTGAAGCAACATTTTTTAATGTGGCGAATTTCACAATTAATCACAGTAAAAAGGTGCAAATATCTGATTTAAATACAAATTATGTATCAGCAATTGATTGCGAATTTAGGCATAAAAAACCTGCCTATTCCGACAGATGGTAAAAGTTCTCTGAAGAACTGACTTAGAATCATTCATCGGAAGGGATAATAGATCAGGTGATTCATAGAGTAGGACTTATTGTTATATTGTTTTTATATTTTATTTCTGTACTTTGAAGTTTCTGTAGTAATTGGGTTGATTTTTTGTGGTGGCATCGCTAGCTGCACACCCAACCTCCCCTTTTTCCTGAGTTTAAACACAGGCTAGCAGACTAGGTGAGTTTGGATAGAGCTGTTTATCTCTATTAAAATTCTGGCAGATAGTTTTGATAGAAGCGCTTCTGTGTGGACAACAGGTTTCATTGTGTATTGCTTTGTCAGGGCAAACTGAGAAGTGCTTGTTAAGGAGAACACTGAGGTGAGCGTTGAGGCTTGAATGTCTAAGAGTAGAAGGAATTTCTTACTGGTATTTGTTGATAAAGTACACACATGTAATTAAAATTTCATAGCCCTGGTCCTCGTAAACCTAAATTATTCAGTTTACTGATAATTAGCTTAGCTCAAATGAATCCAATGGCTGCCCAAAGTTTAGACTACCTCCATTAGACTAGAGGGTAGTTTTATCAGTAATAGTGGTTTCCAGTCCATCATCGCAGTCACTAATAGATGCACTTGTTGTGTAGAATAATTCTCCATTCGTTCAGTACAACGACCGCTTGGTGTTTTATGATTGAATATGCACTATTCCTAAATTCATTAGTCCGAAAATTTTATTATCAGAAGAAGAGTTAACTTTTGTTTAGAATTTGAACTTAAAAAATCCATCCGTCAGAAATGCATCAATATTACTGCACAATAAATATGTAAGCAGCACAGTGAATTTCACAACCCACTGATCGCTTTGACTGATATGTCTTCTTCAGCTATTATCATCTGCCTATACTGTGATCAAATAAAATACTCTGTTAGCATCTTAGTGGATGAATGATTCTCATGTTAAATTTTGCCTTTTAACGAAGTCATATTTTATATTCCGTAAGTGGTGAACACTTCAGGAGTATGAGTGTCATAACAACAACAAAAGATAATGTATAACCATTTAAAAATTAATAAAACCAGTGGTATTCATTCAGTGTAACGCTATGTCTTTTAGGAAATTGTTTTGTGTAACTAACTGAGTGTCCAGCCGATTTGGTTCTCCTTCACTTTTATTCACAAGTTATTATTGATTGCCTGGCTTTTCTTATGTAGAGATTACAAATACTGAATGCCATTATTTTTTTCCTAGGGATTGAAGCTTCAGTCTAAATTAGTTTGATTTTCCGGGGCAGAGTCGTTAGCCCCACAACCAGCCTTCTCTCTTTTTCTGGGTTTAGGAGCAGATGGTTTTCTAAACCATTAACTCACTGAAATAGATTTAACAAATAAATTTAGAAAAATGTTGAAAGCAGTAGGTTTAGGACTGTTGACTGAATTGTAACGCATATAGGGCTACAAGTGAGATTATGGGTGAACATAACTGAAAAATCACGCAATCAGAAGAAAAAATGTATTCAAAATCTTTTGGTTTTTAATTGTGCTTCATAAGATTTTGATTTGTAAGTAAAAATACCCTGACAAAAATCCTGTTACAATTTATGTCTGAAAGAAATCTTGGTGTACACCAGTTCTCAGTAGAAATGTAGATGCGCGTTTGGCTGAAATCCCATTAATTTATTTCGTTTGTAATGAATACCATAGAAAACGAGTTTACTTGTCATAATCGAAAGTTTGTTTTTAAAATGAAAGAAACATACAGTAAAGATCTTTAATAATGACAGTAATATTGACACTAGTAATGAAAAGACCTAAACGCGTATCATCTTGTAATTGTAGACCTAAGAAATTAGCTTTTCGCAAAACAGTAATTAATCAGTTGCATCAATTGAAGCAACGCATATATGATGTGCCTCACTGTTTGAAGCTTGTACTGTTTATTTTTATCCCACCAATATTTTTCTTCACTGTATATTTTTCTTCCACAAGAAAAAAATACAAACAACTGATGCATTTAAGACGAGATGATACAGTACGTTCTATCAAGCAATTTCTCACTGATTATTTTGAAGCACCTTAAGGGTGTGTTGAATCTTAAAATCAAGATAAGTAGAAAAACATTCTTTGCATTAATTCTATAATTCTACAAATATAATTTTATAAAATTCTATAGAAGGTTGGAAAAAAATGCAATTGCTACAAAAAATGAAGAAATATCAACAACAGTATAAAACAATGCATGTAAACAGAAGTCGTCAAAGTGTATCGAAATCACTGTCATGTGAGGTACAATATGCCTTTAATTTGCATGTGTTTAAAGTTTTTGATTTCTATCAACTTTTAAAGCATACTCAGTTAGGCACACTGTCTAGATTTATCGAACCAGAAGAGTGGAGTAAAAGTGATCCTAAATGGTCGACAAGTACACTGACTTTTCCTTTTATTCCACTTTCAAATTATGCTTAGACAACTGAATAGAAGTTCTTACTTAATCCTTCCCATTTGGTTGTTTACCTAGTATTATTGTGAAATTGTTACACTTTTATTTTATCAGTGTTCAATGCTTTTTTATATCTCATATATTTAATTACTCACCACTTTATCATGCGTTCAAGATAAGTACGCATCCTTTTACTTATTCACGGACTGACTGAATCCCAGACTTCAACATTAATTCAGATTGACTTTGTCAATACCAAATTGATGCAGCAGTTGTATATACTGTGATATTTGAACATTCTTGGCGAATTCCTCCTGAATGATCTAATCATGATATTTATATTTGTAAAAAATTTATATTTGTAAAGTCTCAGCGAGATTGAAATGAGTAATTTCAACGTTTCGTTCGGCAATCTGGTCCGAACTTCTTCAGGGAAATTAATCGAAATTAACATTACATAGGTTTATATATAAAAAGGAACATCATTTGTTTTTAAAAATTTGTCCAATCATGAGTCATTCAAAAAGTACCAACAAGTATAATAAACAAAATATTTATGAGCTACGATCAAAATTTGACCTCGGACTTACAAATATTGGTCTACCTTTGTTAAACACTTTAAACAGAGTGTGTATGTGTGTGTGGGTAAACAGTTGCAAAACATTTCTTAACGTTTCCATTAGAAGATATGGACAGTCGAGAATTTTGAACAAGTATTAATAATTAGTGATACATATCCATTTTTATTTATTAATAAGGATTTTTCTATGCATCAGCTAACATCACGCCTTCATGTCTGTTCAAACTGCTAGTATCTAGAATTTTATGACTAGACGTATTTTCAAAATTATGGTGTTTAGGATTCGAGTTTAGTATAAGCACCCTGTCGGACTTATTGCTTTGCCTTCTTTCTGAAGATTGAGCTGCTTTATTCGACCTACTGGAGTTGTCAGGTGACTCGACATCTACGGATTTCGGATATGCATTCCGTTGCAGACAACGGAGATTGAAAACACGATGATTGTGCCAGTTATACAGTTTCTTTGTTAATTTAATTCGATTGCAAAATAATTCAAATGAACTGTCGTCAAGATTTGAGAGAATAGTTCTAAAATATTTGGCCGCCGAAAGAGAAGTAGCACACATACACACTCTGTTTAAAGTGTTTAACAAAGGTAGACCAATATTTGTAAGTCCGAGGTCAAATTTTGATCATAGCTCATAAATATTTTGTTTATTATACTTGTTGGTACTTTTTGAATGACTCATGATTGGACAAATTTTTAAAAACAAATGATGTTCCTTTTTATATATAAACCTATGTAATGTTAATTTTGATTAATTTTCCTGAAGAAGTTCGGACCAGATTGCCGAACGAAACGTTGAAATTACTCATTTCAATCTCGCTGAGACTTTACAAATATAAATTTTTTACAAATGTCTACTTCTCACTCGGCGGCCAAATATTTTAGAACTATTCTGTCAAATCTTGACGACAGTTCATTTGAATGCATGATATTTATACTTATTTGGATGTTTCAACTAACTTCGTAATTATTGTCCGTTTTCATCCTAGACTGCATTCCATCGTTCTGACATTTGTAGGTCGTATGTTAACATGCTCCTTATTATTTGTCTTTGTCCTTGTTTAATCTTTAATTTTAATACTTGTTTTTTTGCTAATTTATTGTATGATGTGATTTTGTTTGAATGAAGAAAGGTCAGAATGGCCTTGAATTGTCCGCTGGAAGCGTTGATGCGTGATTCATGTAGACAGACTATTTGATCCCACCTTTTGGGGAATTTTCCACTTGATTATAAGGTACTTATTACAATTGAATTTCGGCTAGCGAATTTTGTTCTACAGTACTTATTAACTGGACTGTATAGCTGCCTAATGGCACTGTTGAGGTAATTTTGAGTCTTCGATTTAATTATAGTTGAATAGAGTCACAGATTCCACCAGCAAATAAGTGTTTTCTGGCCGTCTTTTGAGCACTTGTGACTGCGCCTCTGCAAAGGATGTTTTGTCAGCTATATAACAGATCACGAAGACTGGGTCCTTGAACTCAGACCACAGCAAGCCGGTTTTGGTTGTAACAATCACTGTTTGAAGAGATTTCAGTGGATGATTTAATAAATGTGACAACAGTTTTATACCTACTGTATGTCATGAAGATTAACTTAATCTGATGGAATTTAACAGTAAGTCAACTATTCAGATAAAAAATTGTCTCTTTTGGGCTGCTTTTATTCACAAAAAGTTTTTCATAAATTCTAAATTTAGCTGTACTGGAACTGAAAACACACATCTAGGTCTACACTGGAATCATCCACTTATGATATGTAAGGATCAGTGAGTGTTACTGCTCCAATGGCTACTCAGAAACAATCTTAATTGTGAAAAGACGTCGCTAGGCTTTTTGATCACAAGTACCACTTATGCGGTGACTGAAAACCAGTGACAATGCCTGTGTAAGTAAAACACTCCAACTGACAGTGCATCACAAAGTACTAAATGGTTTTGATCAGTGCGTTAAAACGACAGCCGGTATACTATTAGCATGAAAAATGAATAAACTAAGAGCTTGCAAAATATCTGGTAGAATAGAGTTGACAATAACGCTTATTGAGTTGACATTTTTGTATTATGAGAAATCTTACGGCATCAAAATATAAGTAACCGTGGGAATACAATAATATTTCTGTTTCCATTTCTGTCTGTTTTGTAGCCAATGGAAGCATTAAGAATTCGGACTATCAGCTTTAGGCTGTAAAATAACTTATAGTAGTCAGTGCTTTCAGTTTAGGTTCGAAATTTATCGTCGCCTTTTTGCCCGCTGTATTTTATCGCATTTTGAGGTGCTCAGATTCATCTTCTTTGGGAATATATACTGAAAGGCTGCTTTTTAATTGTAACTCTTAGCTTCTAGTCCACATTGAAAGTTACACTAACTATTCATACACATTAGATGTTGCATATCCATTATTTTCAGTAGTACTGTGGTGACATATTACCTGTATTTAGATGAATTTTAAAAAGGAACCACTGAGTCTTAAAAGTCCAACTTTCTATCTTTCTTAACATTTTCAGTGGAAGGCTGTCAGACATTGAAGAGAAGCTATGTATTACTAGATAACAACTCATTTCTAAACTATATAGAGATGACAGCATAGTTTATCTGTTGGAAAAAGTATGTTGACAATGGTTGTGTTAAACTACAGAATATCTTTGTTCACACTCCATATTCCGTGTTAATCAGAACTACAGCAGTGATATCCTCCATTATCAATCCATAATGATACTCCTGTAATTGAATGTAACGCAGCACGTTGCATTTTTTTTACTCAAATAGAAACTTATTTGCAAACAGCAATAAAACTCCGCATACCTCATTTATCATAATACATAATAATGTACAATATTAGATGCACTGCAGCAATAATGTAGAGTTAAATCATTTGAACAAATGTGATTGTGGATTTCTGTTTAGAAAACGTGCGTTTTAAACTCTGGCCTTTCATTTTTATTTAAACTATCAGTGTTATGGGAGTTACTATTTTCAAAGTGACATCACTTTTAAAGCGTCATAGAATTTGTATGGACTATATATATATACATATGTTCTAATACGTGAAATGAGTCAACCAAAAATACTGCATAAATGGAAGATAAAAGGATGAATTGTTATAGTCTTTGCACCATATCACTCTGTGAGTCATATGTCATGAAAATAAAAATCTTAAAAAGAAAAAGGTTATATTTTCCAAGCTTCACACCTCACCCAACATTAACATTCTAAAAAAAAGTGTTTAAATATGAATACCGACTCCTCTTTCACTAAACACTCAGTGTTTTACGGTTAATTTACACCCATTAAAACGACAGAAGGGAAACAGCTTTTTACCGATTAATACTATCAGAAGTGATTTGATTTAATTCCCTTTTTTCACTGATGAAACAAATCAAACGTTATTCACCGACATTACAAATGCTTATCAAAGAACTTTCACAAATTCTGTAGATAAATCAAAATGTATAACTATGAGATTTTTTTTGTGATTAAATATATTCATTTATGTTTTATAGTAAATTAGTTGTAGATAGCATCAAGTTACACAACAGATTAAGATAGAGGATGTCACCAATAAACAGCCGTGAAAAGTCAACCAATACGATACCGATGACTATTGACCAATCCAGAAAAAACCTTTTCCTAAGTTGAATTTTGTTCATATTGACAATATCTTTATTAATTCACACTCGGTCAAATTACACACCCTGATATTCTTTGAATACAGCAGTATTTCTGAACGATGAATTCACCAAAGATTTTACAGACCTCACGTCGTTCAAGGGGTTATCGAAGTTTAAGTAATGAAATCTCTGGTGAAAATGATACAGATACACTTAATAATGCAAATAGTACAAATATGAGACGAACGAGCATTACTTCGAATTCTGCACATTTAGCTACAAATCTTGTGTACAACTTGCTTAGCCCTAAGTATTCACCAGTTTTCAGGGCAACACGTTTCAAACAGAAACTAAACCGTAAAGAATCCAATAGAAATGTTAACAGTATTTACAACAGGCAATCAACAATTTCACCAGAGACATCATCTTTAGAGTCACTGGACTCTTTAAGTTCTACTGACTTATTGCCTTCAGGAGACATAAAAAAGGTTACAAAAAAGTTGAACAAACGAAACAGTGTAAAAGAAAGACTTGTAGAAGATAAAATAAATGACTGTCGATCAGAATGCAAGCCAACTAATTTCAAGGATAATAAATACTATCAAAGACCGTTGAACGCTTATAAAACACTACAGGTATACGATGAACTTAATGATGTAAGTCTTACTTCACTACATTTTATGTTTTATTCTATGTTGGTTATTAAGTGAAGTTAGTTAAGTGGTCAATCAGAATAGTTCAAATAAGCAAATCTAGCATTTACGAAGTAGAAATAATGATTATACTGAATAACTATGAAATTAAACTAAGTTAAATCACTGTTTTTGTACCGTGGAATATGCTGTATCTCAGTATCACATCAAGTTTCATGTTAATGTGTGACAAACTGACCTATGCAAGAAATATCCTCTATTAGTTTTTCATTAATTGAATCAGTTCTTTTGAAAGAACTGGTTTGTTTTAATTTAGTGCCAAATGAGTATGCAATTGAACATGGGCAGATGACAAAAAATCACGACTGCATTTTTGTTTAGTGTTAGTTAACTAGCTATGTTAAGAACTTAAAGATATTTCTTGGAATTTTATCTAATGTTCAAGATTCACGTCAAGTGCGACATGATCGTCATGAAAAAAAAATACTCACGATTGATAATAATGCTAGAATTTTTAAAATAATCACTCTAATATTCTCCGCTGCCTTTACTGAGACAGTTTAATGAACACTCGTTCTCACATTTTCCAGAATCATAAATTCTAAAGGCTTCCTTTTTTAACAACAGAAAAATCCAATTGTTTATTACATGTTATTTGTCTGGGTGCATTTATTCAAATGGGAGTGAATCTGAATAGCAGTATTTGCCTCCAAGGGAATATCGTCAGATTATTTTATTCAATAATTTCTTCGCTGAAAATGACTCACGTATTAAGGTAATATTAGTAGTAGTTGTAAGACTTTTGTCTGAAGAATTGTAATGTAACTAGTAACCACCATTACACATAAATCTACCGCTACATAAATGTGATACTGCATGGAACGGAAGAAGGAAAAGCACTATAGTTCCCTTTAGCTTTTGAAATCATAATTTTATAATAATGATTAGGAAGGGCTATATTTTCTTTTCGCACTTATGATCAAATCGCACTGATGCGTATTTAAATTTTTGTATTAATTTATGCAAACTTCGTCTATCTGCAGCAACTTTCAAAGAACTATGTAGATTAGAGGAGTACGATAAATTCCTTTGAGATAACAAGATAAAACACATTCGCTTAGTCTTCCATCATCAAACGTTTTTGTTATTATTCTACAGAGGTAGAAATATGTATATTGTTACAATTTAGGCAGAATATCTGATATGTAAGTTTCGATTTTAATGATAGTTAAAGTAGTGGCTGTATTCCAAATAGTATATTTAGTAGTGCATTCTCAGCACGTAGTACAACAGTGTATCTAATGTTCTCACATCATAAAATAAAATGAAAGATAATAACAGATAAATGTAAAATTAAGTTATAAATTAACAGAAACTGTGAAGAAATATTTTTACGATTAGAAAAATGGAAAGAGCCGTTTATTTAGTGTTTTGGAATAAGTTGATAATTTGAATCCTATTTTAATCCAAGAAAGTCTGAAGAGTTAAGAGTTGTTAAAAAGTAAACTCATCCACAAGAAGAAGTGTGACAAAACTTACTCGCTTCTAAATTGTATAGTTACGAAACTTTCATTTATATGTGAATAGAACAAGAAGTTCAGCATTTATCTGTCACTGAAAACAAGCGGTATACAAAATATTCCTGACTAGCTGACGAAAATAAGATTTTCTGTGATTTAGTTTAGAGCAGAAGTCTGTTTTCATCTTGCATTGAAGTTGTATTTTTTTAAAGTAACTCAAATACTGTTGGAAATCCTTCTTTCAGAATTAATTTAGTACTTAGCTTAAATTTCCACTTCGTGATCTTTAGACAACATGCAACTGGATGCTTTTTTATCTAAAAAGAATATTAATGAGACAGAATACTTGTAAATTGCTAAAACACTTGTAAAATGCAGCATGAAGGAAGCAGAAGAATATATGTTGCTGCTTACATCTCTATTCATAAGTGATTGTCGTCAGACTGACTTGTAACATCACAACAGAGTCCTTTTTGTAGATGGGTTCTTATATAAGTACTTAAGATTAGACTGACAGCAGGCTGCCGATACAATAATATACTCCTTCTTTTCTCATGCCAAAGAACACCCAAAGAAAAATGAATTTTACATAACCGATTTGGAAAGCAGAAGAAATCAGCGAAGAAATATTTACTCTCACTTTAGATCCTCATCTCTGTCTCTTAATTTTACTTTACGAGTTCGTCTTCTACATACAGCTGAAGCAATAGGAGTCCACCTGAAGAAGTCAAGCCTGTGTTTCCGGAAGAAATTTGTACAACCACTTTCCTTACCTTGGGCATCGTTACATGAATGTATAAACTGGACCACTTAGGACTTTTTCTGACTACTTCATCTTTAAGTACAAAATTAACTTTGTAAAATTACTTTATTCTTATTACCATTTCACCCTTAGTAACAAGTTATCATTGTCCAAATCGTTTTATTTTCTTTAACAATCTATTATGCAACCAACCTGTGCACACGCTTATTCCTTAATTACTCTTCATTTTTCCAAAATTATGCATTACGCAAACCATGTGTTTCAACCATTTCTACCTTTTAATTGTGTGTTTTAATTTTCTTCGTTAATTATCACCCCATTGACATGTTGATGCTGACTAATTATTGTTAACAAACATATCGCCACTTGACTGGTAAATTGTTGTGCTATATATTATTAGAGTTGAGCCGGAGATGAGGATCTAATTGATTAGTAAACATTTCTTTTCTCAATCCTTCTGCTTTCTAAATGGGGATTTTTTCTATAAGCGATTTGATCTGTAAATTGTTAGCATTGGCTAACCTTCATGTATTTGGAGTTAACCAGACGTCAAAAATACAGGCTTCAGAAGAAAATGATGCAGCAACTGATCGATTGGGCGTATTCATTGGTTTTTATTTTGATTCATTCTAATTCCAATTGTATATTCATATAGTAGTATTCATCGCTTATCGTTGGCAGATTTTTTAATTAACTAATCATGTGTTTTTGTACAGTTTTGTCAAGCTATCGTTTCTTTTCTGAAAAATCTGAATTCACTCAGCACCTGCTGGACGAGCGTAGTGAAGTAAAACAATATGATAAGTGATGTAGCATTCAGAAATAATACCAACAACAATAAAGGCAGTAATAGCAGTGGTAGTAGTAGCACTAATATGGCAAAGACATTTACATACGTTTTTCTCTGACAGTTTTTATTTTTGAAAAAGGAAGTTGACTTTTGTCGTGAAGTAGTTTGGAAGGTTGACTCACATCTTCCTCTCCTTCCCTTATCATTGTAATTGGGTAGATCATATATTTAGAAAAAGAAGGTAAAAACGAAGAACAATATCAACAAAGAAAAACTTCAGTAGTAACCAACAAGTATGAACAGAAAATGATATTAACTACTGGATTTTGATTGCCTGCTTGATTTATAATAAGTACATGTTTTTGCAGTAGAGCTAATGATCCCGAGAACATGTTCACAAACAGCGTAGTTCTTACAGGCTGTTAATCCTTTAAATCTCATTTGCAACACAGGTGAGTACACGAAACTTAGGTGTGATTTGATAAGTGAGTTCCTGATATCGTTATAGCTATCAGCATTTTAGGTTGTTCGCGTTAAACAAGTGTCGTGGCTACTCAGTCTTGAATATTACTAAGTATAATTTTTGGCATAATCTTGGATGCCATTTTCAGTGATGTTTTACAAGGAATTGGACTCAATATTTTATATGAAGATTTGCACAGAGTTTCTTACAGAGTTCCTTTCTTTTTCACTTGTTCTTTGTTCGAAGTCCGGTCATACTAACTTTTAATCGTCATGTTGATTCTTAGATAATTCCAGTTTGCGTGTTGTCGTCGATTATGATTCCGTCGTTTACATTTGTGTACAAGTCAAACAGAATTACTGTTACTTTATAGCCCCGTTGAAGTGACCTACAATCTTTTCTCAAGTTTAAGTAAACATAGTTGCTCCTTCTTAATGGGTTCTTAGTCGCTCTAGCTGCATATATATATATTTAATATATATATATAAACATAACAGATATGAGAACGATGATGTTTTGATCTAATGAAATTTCACACTAAAGAATGTACTAGAGGTGATTCGAGGCTTTAAGTTTGTTAGACGTACTAGAATAAAACACTTGATGGATTTAAGTCTTTTGAATGGGGTAAGCATATGTTGTTGGACAAGTTAGCGGATTTTCCGAAACATGTACTATACTTAACTTCATTCCTAGAAGCAGCTACATTTATGTATGTAGAAAAATGAATGCAGATGCATCAAGGACCATTTGTGTGTCCATGTGATTTGAGAAATACTTGCTTTTCCTTCCAATTTTCAGTCATCATAATCTTGCTAGAAACCAGCTGACTGAACGGTGACTATTTCACTTACACAGTTAAATCAACCTTTTTCAAGTTGTTTTACAACTCATGATTACTGCAGTCACAAAATAAACAGCTTATAAATTGTCTACAGTTTCAACAATGTACAAAATTTCAACAAGGTATCTAACCCTAACAATTTTCAGTTATTTGTGGTAGATGTAATTTTCCTAATTCAAAAGTATGAGATAAATATTTCCTTGAGCAAGTTTGTAATTGTGAATGTGTAAGTGAGTGTATCTTTTTGGGAATTAACTTTTTCATTGAGGGACGAAATGGTGCATTATCTACATCTTATATTGTTGAAAAGATAATATGTAAATCAGTAAGTTTTCAAGTCTTATCTCTTCATCTGATTCATATGAGTAGTGTTGCTAGTTCCAGTAGTAGTGTTATTTTTAGTGAAAAATAGATTTTAATAATTTATTTCAAGCAGTGAACTGCATGTATGTATATATAAATAATAGCACAGAATGAAAACGGATATATAAGAAGCCTTGGTGAACTAATTGTCATGAGTCTCAGTAGATATTACCAAAGACTGCTGAAACCCATTAGTTCACCCGCACACCATTCAGGCGTGAACTCACTTGGCTTTTGCACTAATTTCGGTTAGCTCATTC